TTTTTGTTTTTTCTTTAATCCCACTTGTAGGAGTAAATGAAAGATTAATCAAACTTTGTTCAATAATTTAAATCAAAGTTTAATTTTTTGTTTTCCGAATATATATATATATATATATATATATATATATATATGAGAATTGAATACTCCTTTATTGTATTTCTAGTAAAAATCGTAATTGATTTTCTTCAAGCGTAAAATTTAAGGTTCGCAGTTCGTCATCAGGTGGCGCGTGCAACAATGGAAGTCGCGTGTGCCAGCTGCGCGCAACTAATTAAGTTGTGTACGGCAGCCTAGCGCAACCTTGTGAGTTGCACGCAGCATCAATGTTGCGAGTGTTTCATTTTTTATCTATTTTTTTTACCAAGGTTTAAAACGAGTGAAAAAATTTCGATTTATTTTATATCTTATTTACCCCCCCCCCCCAAGTGTGAGGATTTTTTTCGTGGAGTTCGAAAAAAAATCCGAACACTTGAATGGCTCGTTTAGAGGTTTTTTTGTCTACCCCCTTCCCCCAAGTGTTGTAAATTTTACCGTTTAGTTCGGTAAAATTTAAAACACCTAAGCGAGATTTTTTTTTTTAATTTTTTATCTACTCCCTTCCCCCCCCCCCCCCAAGTATTATGAATTTTACCGTGGAGTTTGGTAAAACTTATAGAACTTAGAATCTTTGATGTGAATGCTATGAAATTTGATTTAGAATATTTGAGTGAACGAGATTATCCGGAATTTATACGTAATATTTTTTTAGACGACCAATGTTTATTAGTTGATGAATTTCATCGCCACCAATATCCATTAATCTAACTGCTCCTCCTAATAGAATTTCTATTATGCGGTATAGTACTATTCAATTGGGTTTGAATTTCCCTCATGGATCAGTTGGAGGACCTTAACCTCTTTTAGTACAAAGTCACCTTCTTTAATATTACGGGGGCGTACCCATTTGTTAAAATTTCACGCAATGCGTTGTTGGTAGACTTGTACATGATGCAAAGCTTTTAATCGCCGTTCATCAAGGAATAAAAGCTCTTCATACCTTGCTCGTACACATTCGGCTTCCGGTAGCTTACTTTCGAGTACGACGCGTAGTGATGGTATTACCCATTTGTCATCTTGTGTCATGAGAATTAAAAAAAAATCTCGCTTAGGTGTTTGTCATCTTGTCATCTTCTTGTTATCTTGTGTCATGAGAATTTCCTCATTCGGAAGATGAGTGATTTCTTCACAACTTGTTTGAATGGGATGTTGAGCCAAAAAATCAGATATCACCTTTCTTTTTATTGATTTTTCAGAAATATACTTGAGGTCGAATTCTGCCAACATTACCAAACACTTGAATATTCTTCCTTGTATGGGTGGTTGTCCAAACAAATACTATATTAGATTGTGTTGAGAAATCACATGAGTGGTGTGGGAAAGCATATAATGTCGTAGTTTTTTAGTTGCCCACACTAATGCTAAGCTAGAGTGCTATATCGTGTTTCATATTGGATAAACTTCTTACTAATATAGTATATTGCACATTCTATTTTATCTACCTCTTGTGCGAGCATGGCTCCTGTAACCGTGTCCATGACAATGATATAAAGTCAAAGAGGTAGTTTGGGTATTAGTGGTGCTAAAATTGGAGGACTTTTGAGTTTCTCAAAGGATTCTTGGCATTGGTTGTCCCATTCATGTTTTTCTTCTTTTTTCAATTTTTTGAATATTGGCTCACTAGTCATCATCAACTTACTAATAATTCGACTAATGTACTATACTTTGCCAAGAAACCCCCTAATTTGTTATTCTATTTGTGGGGGAGGCAGGTCAACAATTGTCTTTATTTTCGAGGGATTAATCTCAATGCCACGTGTGCTTACTAAGTATCCGAGTAACTTGTCGGAAGTTACCCCAAAAGCGCATTTTTGTAAGTTTGATCTCATCTTATACTCTTTGATTTGAGTGAAGAAATTGCGTAACGCTTTTGTATGACCCATTTTATCTTTGGATTTTACGATCATATCATCCAGCACATATACCCCTATTTCTTTGTGCATCATATCATGCAAGAGAGTCGTAACCGTTCTTTGGTACGTAGCTCCCGCATTTTTAAGACCAAATGGAATGACTATATAGCAATAAGTACCCCTAGGGTAGTAAAGCATGTCTTTTCTTCATCTTCTTTTGCCATTAGAATTTGGTTGTAACCTACATATCCATCCACAAAGGATAACATCGCGTGTTTAGCCGTATTATCCACTAATATATCAATATGTGGTAGAGGGAAATCGTCTTTGGGACTAGCTTTGTTAAGGTCCCTAAAGTCGACACACATGAGAACTCACCCATCCTTTTTAGGGATTAGGACAATGTTTGCTACCCATTCTGGGTAATTATATATGCGAATAAAACCTGCATCCAATTGTATTTGTACTTCTTTTATTTTAAAGTAACGTCAGGTTTCATTCGTCGAAGTTTTTGTTTTACTGGTTTAGATAGAGGGTTCAAGGGAATGATATATTCCGCAATTTCCCTATCTATTCCAGGCATGTCCTTGTATTGACCAAGCGAACACATCTTCGAATTCTTTGAGCGTTGATATGAGAATAGATCGCTCTTCCGGATTTAAAGTTAAGCCAATTTTGACTTTTTTCTTGTTTTCATTTGTTCCTATATTAATCGTTTCAGTTTCTTCGATCACAAGATTCTTTTGTTTTCGTTCATTCATTAATTTAATCAATTTATTAATATCATCGTCTTCGTTAGATTGATTATTATAGCATTCAGAAGATTCAAGACAAGGCATATACTCGGAAATAGAGCTTATCTAATTGAAATAAAAAGAAAGTACATCAAGAGAGAAATCCTTTTCGGGATCCTCGTCCTTAGAACTAGAAAATAAAGACTCAATAATGGGCACAAGGCCTAAATTCTCAACTTTCTTAAAATCTCAACTAGACTCATCGTCGGATTTTTCAAACATTTGTCCTTCGCCTGTGGTGATTTCCAGCTTGTCACCTTTGTGGTTAGTCCATTTGAAGGTCTTCCTCCATCCATGCTCAAAGGTATTATTGAAAAGGGTGATCAATGAAGTAGGATCGAAAGCTTCGTCTTGGATGGCATTTTGGTTGGTTATGATAGCAACATGATTTTGCTCTAGTCCAAATAGCAAGTTAAAGGCTTACCTATCATAGCACCCTGGGATTAGGTGTTTTGATTGAGTGACACTTAAGTCATCATTCAAGAAGTAGCAATCGTTAAAAATCTCGAATCCAGGCTTCTTGATACCTTCCAGAACTAGTGGTTCTAGAAAGTCATAGCATGGGTAATTTTCTCCCTCCTTAATGAATTGTCCATTAAGAGTTTGATTGTAAGATGGGAATAAAGGAATTATCCTTTTTTTGTTGTTATTCCTACGTGCCCTTATTTTGGCATCGTGTGCTTCAAGTTCTTCTTTGGTTGGTTTATATCCCAATCCAAAGGAGAAATTTTTGTTTGGGATAAGAAGTAAGATAGATTTCTTCATTCCTAATCCCAAAAGCATCCTAAGAAAGTAACTACTCTTGAATAAGATGTTGTTTACTATTGGTATGGAATATGGATTAAGTTTGAAGGGGATTTCAAGATCTTCATCCATTTCTAGTGTGCAAATAGCCTCTGCGACGAATCCCCACATATCTTCTTCATAATTGTCATGATTTATCCCTAGAAGAGATTGATCGTTTATTGCGACTTTTAGAGGAGAAGCATGTATAGTCATAGGAAGACCTTGATAGTTCAACCTAATCATTTGATTGAGCGAAGATGGTATTGCTCCAAGCTCGTGTATCCAAGGACGTCCAAGAAGAAGGTTGAATGTAGGTTTAATGTCCATGACATGGATTTCAACCATCTTTTGAATTAGGCCTGTGGTAATTGGTAGCTTAACAGTCCCACACACCGATCTCCTTGAATTTTCATAGGCCCTAATGCTTAGTTTTGTTGCATGAAAATCTTTTTCTGGGTATAGGCCTAGATAATTCGCGATTCGTAACGGGCACACATTTACGGCGGACCCATTATCAACTTACGTAAGTGGTATATTGTATCGCTTGCACCCCACAATTAGATATAATGCATTACTATGGCCAGTGTCTTTTGATGGCAAATCATCACTAGTAAAGATGATTGATTTGTCGAATTTTTCGCTAGTAAGCAAGCTAACGAGATCCCCAGGAGTTGTATCCGTATTTATAGACAAAGCAGTTAAAACATTCATTAGAGAATTCCTATGTTCCTTAGAGGTACTTAGGAGTTCCCAAATGCTAACATTCGCCTTAGATTGGCGAAGTTGTTTTACCAATGGATCAGGGGGAGGTGGTGTTGGATTTTGAACTTAACCTTGGTTGATCGAAGTCCATTTGGTTGTGTTTGATAGATTCGCCCAGAACGAGTCAAGTGATCGATCTCGATTGGGTTAGTCTTAGCACTCATGAACCAATTTTCTTCTAAAGATGTCGAATGTGCCTCCATTTTTAAATGTTCCACATTTTGACTTTTACACTATTTATATACTTACTTTGACTATTTCAATAGATAAAAAACATAATTCCTCCGTTTTTCAATGCTTGCAACACGTCCCTAAAATAAAATTGTCACAATACTTGCAATACACTATAATTGGAAAGATATTTTGGGGAAAAGTTGTACTATTTCACTTACTTAAAAGCACATGGTCCACTAAATTATAATTCTTTATACTACCGCCGTTAACTATTACTTACAACAAAAGGATATTATTTGTGAGATATAAAATATTCCTTTGTTGCACATAATAATTAACGGAGGTAGTATATATATTTTTATTAGATCTTTTATACTTCTTATTTTCTTAATTATAATTACAATTATTGTAAAAGTTGTACATTAGCATGTGTCGATCAAAGTGTTACGACTATTGTAAAATAGAGTACTTTCATTCAAAACAATTATGGTAAAACCTTTCGATCTTGACACCCATCCAACTTAGTCCGTAGGAAACAAAACACAGGAAACATGGTAGCTTGACAATAAAAAAAAATAAACTCAAGTAATCGAAATATCCACCAAAAAAAACAGTATGACAATATTAGTGCAAGTCTTACTAACATCAGCACTTTGTCCTACAAGACAAAATTGAAAACTTTGCAGACATCTAAGAAACAGAGAAATGCGCCAACATAAGGGCAGCTTCAAACCTAATAGTTCTTGCACAACACATAAATAAACTCAATAGCCCTAGTACCTTCTCGGGCCTCCAGTTCCCCTGGTGAAGACTGGGGCAGGGGCCATATCCTCTGGCTCGGCCTTGATGATTCCAGGGAGGTCAGACATACCTAGAGCAGCAAGCATATCAATGGTCTCTGGATCAACTTTGATGACGTCTACCTTGATAGCGGACTCAGCAGGCACAAAGTCCATACGCCTTTCACGCTCCTCCTCTTGCAATTTCAAAGAAATTCCACGAACAGGGCCCTTTTGAATTCTCTTCATGAGATGAGTAGAAAATCCAGCAATTTTGTTACGCAGACGCTTAGATGGAATTATGGCAACCTCTTCCAAGACCTTCTTGTTGGTGTGGAAATCCAATGTCATTCGAGAATAATACTTCTCAATGACTTGGCGAGAAGACTTCTTTACAGTTTTTGTACGGACACGACCCATCTTGGTAGCTTAAAAAGAACTTACCTGTATCAGCAATACAGGAGCTAAATTAACTTGCTTGCAACAAACAGAAAAGAAGCAACAAGATCTCAATCAATTAGAGCAGATCAATTCAAATAACAGGGTAAACTCTTGATTTTGAGGCTTAGCATTGTAAGAATAGCTAGTAAGATGCTGGACAGCTTCTAGTCTTCTACACTCAATTAGCTTAGTTAGGAATCTGCTGCCCCCAATCCATTTTAACATCACAATTCCAAATCAAATTTCTTTACTCTACCCATATCAAGCAGCAAAGGGACCAAGTAATCAAACACAATCAGTGGCAATAACTCTTACTAATCAATTCATCAACTTAGCCTATGTACGATTGGAAGGTAGACAATTTTGAAAAAAACTGTCCAATTCATGTGAACTTTCAGAGGGGTAATTCATAAGCCAAACTGGTTTTCCATACCGTGCAAATGATTTAATTCTTCTACAATGATTACCAGGAATGTGCTACTACTCCTAATCCCTCCCATTTTATCTTGCTCTCCTCTTTCCCTTTATCATACCCTTCTTTCCAATTCTCAGTTCTCTTTTCACTCTAATTGATCTAACAAGGCACAAAACAACCATCCACAACTTTTCAAACCTAATTTCCATTTAAATACTGTCTTTATTGTCAATACACTTCTCTTCTATAATATTTTCCATTTAAATCAAACACATCCTAATACAAAATACAATTTATTTCCCTATACAAACTTGAGATGAATTCCCAACTAACTTACAATCAGAAAAATAAGAAACACCCAATCATTCTAATTAGTTACTGTTGTAAACTGCAAGCAACAAACTATATGCATTATCATCTATAGTGATTAGTGAAGAGCAGCTAACCATTTGAATCTCTAAATACTGCAAATAGACCTGAAGATTACAATAAACTGCTAAAATAGCTGAATATAACAATAAAATTAAAAGCGAAAATCGAGCGTTTCAGAGCATCACATACCACAAAACCTAACACAAATCACCAACAATCAACATTCAAACACTGACCCAATTGAAAACAAAACTAGACCAACAAAACCCAAATCTCAAATTCTATATTTCTGCAACTTTCAATCAACAATCGATTCACTTAATTATTCACAAAAATAGAGCAAAGCAAGTAATAAAATCAAAGTGAAACTATCAACAAAAGAAATGTAAGCAAGAAATTGATGATAGAGAAAGTACCTGAAGAAAATCGAAGGAGGGAAGGAGCGCAAGGACTCTGGTGCGGCTACTGGTTATAGAATAAAATGGGTGTTCAGAAGAGAAAAAGAAAGTGAAGAACTAAATATTAGGGTTTTGAAATACTGTTTCTAGGTTAGGGCTTTTTTATATGTGGTATTTTCATTTAATGGACTGTAATTCGTTTCTTTCTGGGCTTGTGGGCTGTTTGGTTTGGGATTACTAAGATTTGATTTTTTTTATTGGTGAAAGTATTTGGATCCATTTTTGAACCGGAGATTTTATTGGAGCAATCTCAAGATTGTTGTATAAAAACTGGATTGGGTTTATTTTTGTGTTGAATAGATTTTAAACAATCCACTAACATTAGGGCCGCTAAGACCATCTCCATTGGTGAGACTCAATTTTGAGTATTGAAATACAAAATGAGTTATTTTTTTACTTCTAATGGTGATACTCAACCCACTTCTCAATTTAGCAACTCATATAAAGTCTAATTTCTCAATGGTGAGACTCTCTAAACTATACTAATATCACTTTCAATTTATGGCCCACCATATCCATATTGTAAGGCTTTTAAAAATAAAAAAATAAATTAAAACTTAAATAAATTGCAAAATATATTATAATATTGATAAGGGGCCCACACTTTTTGTCAAATGAGACTCAAAGTTGGGTATCTAAACTTAGCAAGTTTCTTTAGGAGTTGCTAAGCTTAGATACCAATTTATTGGTATCCTTTGCAAGAAATACCCTCCCTCTCTCCTAAAAAACTCACTCAAGTCTCACCATTGGAGATGATCTATCCACACTCTATTTCAACATTCGCACACCCTATTGGTTTTCCTGAATTCTACTCGGTTATTGTAGCTTGCAAACCAATAAGAAAAATGAAAAACGAGATCTTGCATATGTGTAGTTTTGCTTTAATGAAAAGAGAGATAATGAGTAAAGATTTAATTAAATATAATTGGGCCTCACATAGTGTGCTTGTATAGAATAAAAAAAATTAGAACAAAAAGTTGGCATAAAATAATAAAGTAAAAGTGAATAAAACTTAGAAAAATGAATGAAAAAAGAAAATGAGTAGAACTTAGGAAAACAAAGGAAGTAACATGTTATTAGCACCACCCTAACCGACTAACTAGATGAAAAACAAAGGGATTCTTCTGTCGGACTGAGGTAAGTGTTTGATTGATTGATTAAAATTAAAGCTGTCAAAAGATTTGATGGGATAAAGATTTGATTGATTTAAATTAGAGCTATCAAAAGCTAACTCAACCAAAAAAATTTACTCGAACTCCATCATGACCCGACTTGTTTGAATCGAAGAAATTGGTGATCCTGATCCTAATATGACCCAATCTGTAATACCCCAAATTTTTAAGTATATTTAATCAACGATTTTTCTAGAATAAACTTTTAAATTTATAATTGTTTCGGGGTTTTTTGATGTCCTGCGGGAGAGTTAAAATTCCGAGACTAGATCTGTGCGCCTGTACCTGCAAAACAACGGAAACTCTGGTTGGTGGGAGCTCCGCCTCCGATGATCAAGTTAGAACGTGTTTAGGAGCTACATGCAGCGAGAGAGTCTCACGCCGTTGAGAAAGGTGACGACTGGGCAGAGCCGTCCGCCTCTCAGAGGGAATTATACAATCCTTACTATTGTCATGTTCCAAAGGGTAGGCGGAAGGCCATGGCCGAGAGACTTGGAACATTCCAGGCCGACCATGTAACGGGGTATGGCTACATGCTCTCGGTCCCGGACCCTGAGGACACGGTAGCCTGGCCTGAAAAGTCCAGCTACCAGGATGAGTGTTTCGATTGCTATGAGGCGGCCATTAAAGCTTGACTTAGATTCCCCCTACATCCGGCCGTGGAACGGATCCTGGATGGATACCAGATTGGGCTTTAGAAGCTTGCCCCAAACTCTTGGTTTAACATTTTGGGGTATGTGGCCAGCTGTGAAATGTATGGGGTGGAACCAAGTTTTGAAGCGTTCGCCCACATGAATTACCTTAGCCAGACCCCTAAAACAAGCGGTACCGGATGGTATCAAATTTCCAGCCACAAGGGCTATTTAATGACCAGGGGTAAGGAGAACAAATGGAAGGATTGGAGGAACACCTTCTTCATTGTCTCCGGCCCTGACAAGACCTTGAACAAAAAATACAATAGGTGGAACCGGGATCCACCTTACTTAGCAGGCGGCTCTGACCTGCCGTCTGTTCCTCGCGAAGCAAAAGAGGAGATCCTTGACCGAGGGCTCTTCAAAGTGGACATCAGGGCCAACCCCACCACAGGGGTCCGAGAGTTTATTCCTCACAACTGTCTACCCAAGTTCAAGTGGTTGTATGATGAATATTTTTTAGCCACCTGTGGCCTTAGTGAACAAACGGCTAGAGGTAGTCGGCCCACTATTGTTCATGTCTTTGCATTCCTTAATTTGCCTGAATATTTTGTTTTAACTCTGTGATGTACTGCTTGTAGACAAAGCTATGGAGAAGATTACCGCCTCCAAGACAGCAACCGCCCTTCTGTACGCTGCCATTCTTGGCCAGAAGCAGCCTTCCTCTGACTCGCCTTCAAAGGAGGCGTCCAAGGTGAGCTTCTGATATCCTTGGAGTTTTTTTTTTTTGACTTGGTTGTTTGTTGTAGGGTGAGTCGCCCAGACCTTCTCCCTCCCAGCAGCCGGACCCCAAGGCCCGTAAGCGATCGACTGGGAGTACGCCTGGTTCTTCCAGGAAGCTTCCTGCTGATAAGCAGGTGCGAACCCCCCAAAGTGGGGCAAAGCAAACAAACGTCCCTAGGGACAGTCAGCCTCTAAGAGTATTGAATTCGCTTTCTCCCAACTTCAAGTTTCCTCAAATCAGGCGGCATGTTGCCCCTCATTCTCATATGCCATATTAATTGTCTTTGTTGTTGCAGGCGCCCCCTAGGAGCTGGACCTGGTTCAAATGGCCAAGTCCATACTCAAGGACATTCCCCTCGAGGAGAGGGAATCTGTTAGGGGAGTCGACACTGTTGACCTAGAGTCAATCCTAGCTCTTCTTTATGAGGTAAACTTGGTTTAATATTTCGTTTTGTAGGATAAGTGGCGTTCCTTGCCGCTATTTATAAGATCACTTCTGACGCCTGTTTTTTAAACTTTGCAGGCCATGCTCCAAGTGTGTGGTCTCCACAAACCTATCCATGAAAAGACCAAGGAGGTAAAAGCTGCGAAGGCCATGGCCGCCTCTAATTGTGACAAGGTAATGTTTCAGATTTCCCAAAATGAAATACTGACCACTGACATTCTGTATTATCAGGCGTCCGCCACCTTGCAGGTCAAGAATCAGTTAGAGGCGGCCAAGAAGAAGAACCTGGAGTTGGAGAAGGCTGTCAAGGATCTCCAAGCCTAATTACAGTCGCTGAAGCATGCAAATCATACGGTCAAAGAACTGCGCAAATTGAACAAGAAGCTCAAAGAGTGTCTGGCAAACCAGGAGGCGGCCCTGACCCAGCAACTCAGCGCTAAGGCTGAGTCCGAGAAGATGGCCCTGGTCCAGGATATGATGGAGGACTCTACTGCCATTATGAAGATGACCTGGAAAATCCTCTTCCCAGACTCAGACTATGAGCAATGGGAGTCTAAATTCGCCGCCTGCATTGGTGAATATAATATCAAAATTATGCAGCAGGCGGTCGATTAGGAGGAAGAGAAGGCGGAGGATGAGGAGAAGACGGAGGTTGAGGAGGCCGACTCCACTTCTGAGGATGAGGACCAGGAAGAGGGCGACGAAAAGAAGACGGACGCCAATCAAGAAAAGGCTCTTGCTAATGTGCCAGGACAAGAGAATGTCCTGGAAGAGCAGGCGCCAAATGTCGAAACTGAAAAGGCGACCATTGACGACGAAGTCCCTCCCCAAAATGTTTAAGCTTTGTTAATCTCAACTTTTCTTCGGCCTATGTGCCGTTTGTTCTTATATCTTTTACCCAACAAAGGGGTCGGGGTCTATGAATATTTTGCCGGTCTTCCTGGCCGGTTGTTTATATATGAATGTGATGGTTGTTTTGTCGTCTTGTCCAGTAATCTTTATTTTTTTATTTTAGTTTGCCAAATCTTTTTGCCAAGTATAGAATGTCTTTAATAGCCGCTTGTTTACCATACTGGCTGTTCTTGCTAGTGTTCTTCCTTTTTGCTTCAAATTTTGCCATTTGAATGTTGCTAAGTATAGAAGACATCTTAGTGGGTGCTGCAACCGATTGTTATTGTTGCCCCTGGCCGACTGATAGTTTCTTTATCGGTCAGTCGGTCTACCCTTGAAAGCTTGGGATAGTAGACTTTCCAGTCTTGGTGTATTTTTCAGGAATATTACCCAGGCCGCCAGTTGGTTGCGCTTTGGCACAGGCGGTTGTAGTAGGCGTAGTTGATGAGCTGAGTGCCTAAATCTTAGCAAGATTCCTCAAGCTTTAGTTCTAGTTGCACAATGTTAGTCAGCGTTTGACTTGGGCCATTGTTTGTAGCCGCCTAGTTTCAATATCAGCCGGCTATCAGTGTTAGAAAAGTAGGAATAATCCTCTGCGATAGTCGGCCTTGTGGCGCCACCTAGGTGGTTGAACGATAGGTTAGTTTAAATATTTACCAAGTTTGAAGGAAACGGGCCGTCTGTATAGGTTCCAAAGAACGACAGGACGCCTGTTTTGATGGGATCTGCCTGTATCGGCTACAGACGTGCCTTTATTAAGTCTAGATGGAATAATAGTGGACGGCCGCCTGTTTTCAAGAACAGGTGTTCCTTTCATACTTTTGGTTCCATTCTAGGGAAGGCGACTGGTTATCTAGTCACCACCTCTTTTGTTTGAGTGGTAGGAGGGTCAAGCAGCGGAGGCCACTTGACTTCCTTTATTTCCCAAGTTTTGCTTAGCTATTAACCCAAATAATGCCAAAATGTTTCGGCAGTTTACAAGGCGTTGATGTTTGGTATAGACAGGTCGCCTGTTCATGTGGACGAGGCGTCTGGTCTGTACAACTGCGCCTGTATTGGTGGACCTAGTTGGAATAGTGGCCAAGTACCCTTGTTTGCCAAAAAACAAATGTTCTTGTACCTTTTAGGTTCCAAACTAGACTGGGTGACTATGAGTCTCCCTCGGGGCTACTCAGTCTCCGCCACTAAT